TAGGGTGGGGGATATGTTTTATCGCACCCCTGGCAACCCACCATTCCCAGTGGGGGCCAAAGACGATGTATTTGCGTCCCACCCGGCTCTGGGCCCATGGGGTGGATGGAGGGAATGGGGAGCACAGGAGGTGGGTGGGAGGATGAAGGGTGATGGCTCTGTGGGTGGAGGTGGAGGCTGGATCTGGCATCAGGGAGGACATGGGGCAGTGAGAAGGGCCACTGTGGGCTACTACGAGGTGTCTGAGGACCACGGTCTGGCTGGGCTGCCCAGGGATGCTCCTGCACACTGGGGCAAATCTCCTCGCTGCCTGGAGAGGTCTGAGGCTCAAACATCATGTCTGATCACAAACTGTGGGGCTCAGCATCACCAGCAGCCAGGCCCTCTTTCCCCCATAACCTGGCTGAATGTGGTGGCCGTGCCTCCCTGCCACATCCATGGAAATACATTGATTGAAAAAAATAGGGCAGCTCTGCTTTAAGGATGCTCTAAACTAAAGCTTGCAATTTTACCACTGCCTTAGCATATTGCTCTGCTATCAAAAGCTCTCCTAAACCATTGCCAGCATGTTACCCTGCACTCTGTACCTCCCCCAGCACCCCTATGGATGTGGCTCAGCCCCCCAGGGGCACAGAGCCACCAGCCGGGCAATGCTCGGGGTTGGAGCGGCTCACTGGCAGGCCCCAGCACGCAGGCGCTCTATAAGGGTCCAGCACAAGCTAACTGAATGCATAACTTTATTAAATAAATGCTTTGTCATGAGAAAAGACAAAGATCAAAGAGTAACATAAATTATAAGTTGAATAAATAGTATACAGCAATCTTCACTTTTTAATAAAATGTGAGATTTTTTTTTAAGTACAAAATGCTAAACAGAGCATTAAGCTCTTCTTCCATTGTCAGTTTTTCACAAACTGCTTTTTTTTTTTTCCCACCAGTAAGATTATGAGTATTTCTTGTTTACTGGAAAAAAAAAAAAAAACAACAAAACCAAAACAAACCGAAACAACAGAGCTACCGTATGTATGTAAAGCTATAAAAAGCTACCGTAAAATGTGTAGTGAGTATTGCTTAAAGATAAAAACCAGGCAGGAAACTCGGAATCTGGTGTGTTTTAACAACTGTGTTACAATGGTGGGTAACGTGCGTGGTGACGTCTGTCCCGGTGGCAGTGGCGGGGGGCTGGGGAGGGGGGCACAGTAGGCAGGGCTCCTAGTGAGGGCCAGGACAGCGGTCTGGAAGCGAGGTGAACTGTCGGTCCTTAAATATACAATGCTCCGTTCGGGAAAAAAAATCAACAACTACAACAAAAAAAACGAACAAAGTTTTCATGGGGAAGGGGGAGAAAAGGAGAAAGGGGGACAGAGAGCAGAGAAATAGTGCAAAATGCTCTTGTACTAGTGGTTTTCGAAGTCCACTGCAGTACAGACAAGGGGTAGCCCAGCTGCTGAGTGCTGCTCCCTGGGGCTGTGATGGAAGGGCTGTCCTGACCCCTGTGCTATCCTTGTCCTCTCCTTCCCAGCCAGCATCCTGGGTACCAGCACGGGCTCGGTGCAAACACCATGGCCAGAGATCCCCCAGCCTCACGCCTTCCCCCCAGGTACAAACTGCCAGCACTTCCCCGTGTGCCTTGATACCCCCTGCTGCTCACCCAGCCCTCCCCAGCTCCCAAATCTGCCCTTTTGGTTTTCTCACCCCGAACATAAAGGGGTGCTGAGAACAGGAACATCTCGTCACTGCTGCCCCAGGCGGTGGAGGCAACCCCTCCTGATTCTGCTCTTGCCCCCAGCCTGACCCAGGCTCCAACCCCGGTCCTAAATATTAGCGCAGCCTCCAAGCAGCCTCGTCCTGCCGGGGATCCTCGAGGGAGTAGGCGGCCAGGGGGTTGCTTGGTGCCCTGTCTGGGGAGTCATGATGGCTTGGGGGGATGAGGGTGGTGCAGCCCCCTCCTTGCATTCTCCTCCTCCAAGGTTGGTGGGGACGGGACAGGCAGTGCCATCCTAGTGCTGGATGTGCAGCAGGGAGGGAGGCTGTGCAGGACAGATTTTGGTGCTCAGGGCCATGGCTGAGACTCGCTTTGTAGGGAGAGGTTAGGGAGGCATCCTGTGTCCCCCCCCCAGTGTCACCGTGGTAGCCACAGCAGGAGACCACCACTGGGCCCTGTGAGCTGACCCTCATGCTGCAAAAGCACCAGCCCTGAAAGGCAAGGTCCATGGGGAGCTGCTGTCCCTCTGCCTGCTCCCACCCTGCCCTGGCGGCACATCTTCTCTCTCTGCAGCCAAAGGCTTTCAAGTTTTGGGAAATCAAACAACAAACCAAACAAACAAATGAACAAAAAAGCAAGAAAGAGGGAGAGAGAGGGAGGGAAGTGTCCTGGGGAAGGTGGTACTGGCCTGTAACAGTCAGGAGGTTTTGCACGGGAATCAGCAAGCGCATATGGGAGACAGTGGTGACAATGCCGACCTGTGGCCCTTGGGGTTGGCACAGGCTCATCCACTTGCCTTCTTTACGTCATCCTTTACCCCACTGTCACCGCACCATTAAGCCACCACCCCGGTCAAACCGATGCTGCTCCATCTCTGCAAGGCCCAGTGGGGTCCCTGCCCCAGCCCCAGCACCCGCGGTGCTCCCCTCCAGCAAGATGGGTCACCCTGCTGTCGCAGGTTTTTTGAGGGGGCAGATCTGCATTTGGTGGCACTCTCTCTTCTTTTCAGCATGAGAAGAACCCTGCCCCCCCCAGCTCCAAACATGCCCCACTGGGTCTCCATGGAAGTCCATTGGCAAAACTCGCCCCTGCTGTAACTCCGAGGGAAATAACTGTGGGGTGTCCAGTCCTGCCCTGATTGGGGCAAGTGTCCTGGTGGGGGGCTGGCAGGGCGGTTGGGGGAGAGGTGCCATGCCATGGGAGGCTATGAGGGTGCCTGACCAGTGATGGAGAGGAACCTCCACCAGACCCCCTTGGCATCAAATACCCCTTGTCCCATTTCCGCTGGCGGGGACCCAGTGGTGCTGCGGACCCGCTTTCCTCTTTGCCCAACTCCAGGATGCTCAAAGGGGCTGCGGGGGGTGCAGAAACCTTCCCCCTGAGATTGGTCATGTCCTTTGAGCAGCGCCAGCTGCCATCTCCAGCCGTGGCAGTGGAATGTGGTCCCTGGTGGGTGCGTGTTTGCCCACTGGGACCACAGCACCCAGACCCCACGGCTCGCTTTCTTTTCCTTCCTTTCCTTTGCTGCAGGATCTCCCAGCGCCAATGTCCGGAGACCCTTGTCATGGGGAAATGAGAGGCAACAGTCCCAAAATCAAACATAAAAATTAAAAACAACAAAAAAGTCAGTAAGGCAGCTGAGGGCTGTCCCAGCATGCCTGAAGCAGTGGGTCTCTGTGGTGTGGTGGCTGCTGTCACTCAACAAGGAGCTGGGTCCCAGGTTAAAGGCGAGGGCCTGTCGCAGGATCTTACTGTACAGTGGCAGGAATCAGCTGTGGCAACAAAACCAGTATCCTCAACAAGAAAGGATGGAGACCTGGAGACCGGCATTTTCCTACCCATGGGAAAGGCTATAAACCATCCTTAACAATAATCCAAGACAAAACAAAGTATAGGTTTGGGGTTTTTCCCTCCCTGGAGAAAACCACTTTTTTGGCTGTGAAAAAAATAATTAAAAATCTCCATAGTTGGTCTTCCTCGTGGCGGCAAAGGGTGGTGAAGAGCTTTGGCCCTGATCCCCCTGTCCCCACGTAGGGATGCTTCAGTCTGGACAGTGATGGAGTATCTGCAGGGTCAGCCTGGATGCAGCCCTCGGTGTCGGCGGAGCCCTGATCCCACAGGCACCAATGCTCCTCCGTAACTGCTCCTGCCCTTAGTCCGGCAGGTTATTATTGTTGGTTTTGCGGGGGGCAGCATCTCTCCCCCCACTTACAGTTAAGCCCTCTGAGATTGCAGGTTTCGAGGCGAAGTTTTGAAAGGAGGAAAAGCCACGTCCGTGCACACACACGCTCGCACACACGCATACGCACGCAGGCGACAAACGCTTCCACACCGGGATGGACAACAGTCAGAGTCCCGCTTGTCCAAAAAGGTTTCTCACCTCCCATTTGAGAGGAACCGGACGGAGAAAGATATCTTTCCTTTTTGGATGATTTCTTTTTGAAGTCCATGAATATTTCTGGGGGCAATACTCATGCCGTTGCAGGAGCTGTGTTTTGCTCCCCGGCTCATCTCCAGACACGAAGCCAGCCGTCCCACTTCTCCTCTCGACGTGTTGAAATCTGCCTGGATCCGGGGTGGTCGTTCAAGACTGAAGTCAAATCAAATTGACTCGAGTGAGTCCCAGCAATGTGGGGAGAAGACTCTGGAGGACCGCAGCGAGGAGGAGGAATGCTGGTGGCCACAAGGTTTTCTCTTGAGACCCTTTAGAAAACAACCAGCTAACCCCCCCCCCCAAAAAAAAAACCAAAAACCTGCCTGAAACCCATACTGGAAAATCACCAACTCGGAGAGCTTCCTACATCAGGGTGGCCTCTGCTTATGGCAGGGGGGGGCAGGGCGCGGGAGGTGCAGGCAGCGTTGGGGAGAGGCGCAGGGAGGCACAGGATGGCGGAGCGGCCGTGGCTGGTTTGTCTCTGGCTCTGTCCTTTCCTTGCTGAGTCCTTGTAGTCAAGAGGCTGCTGTAGATTCCGAGTCCTCAGTTTCTTCAGGGTTTGTTTTTCTCTTTTCTTTCTTTTCTCCTTTTCTCTTTCTTCCTTTTCTCTTTTTCTCTTTTCTTTTCTTTCTTTTCTTTTCTTTTCTTTTCTTTTCTTTTCTTTTCTTTTTTTTCTTTTTTTTCTCTTTTCTTTTCTTTCTTTTCTTTTCTTTTCTTTTCTTTTCTTTTCTTTTCTTTTCTTTTCTTTTCTTTTCTTTTCTTTTCTTTTCTTTTCTTTTCTTTTCTTTTCTCTCGCTTTTCCTTTCTTTACTTCTTTCTTTCCCTTTCTCTTTTTTTTCTTTTCCTTCCTTTCTCTTTTTTCTTTTCCTTTCTTTTTTTCTTCTTACATGAGATGAAAGGAATCGGAGTCCCGGGGCACAGGGAGGTGCGGAGGGGAGGGTGGAAGGGAGCCTGGGTAGGTAGTGATGGGGTGGAGGGAGGGGATGTGACTTCACTCCACGTTGCTGCTGTCGAACGCGTGGCACTGCAGGTCTCCGCTCAGATAGTCAGTCCCTGGCAGCTTCATGCCGTATTTGTCCACGCACCAACACAACCCACGCTTCCGGCCTCGGGAGGGTTTGCACTGGGGAAGACACCCAAGGGCAGAGATCAGGAGATGGCCACCAGCCACCGCGCAGCTCCCCTGTGCTGGGGATCAGGATCAGCCCGGCGCTTTGCCCCTTTCACCCCAGCGACGCAATCCCCTGGGTAGGACCTAGCTCCTGCTCTCTGCTTTCAGCACATCTCCATCCCCGCTGCTACCCCAGCCCGGGGCTCTCTGACTTTTCCTCCTCCCTTCACCAGCTCCTTCAGAATGCTCACTTCAGGCTGGACGGCACTTGGAGCCATCAGCAAGGCCACCCACCGCCAAATGTGCCTGCAGATGCTCGCAGCAACCTCCCCACCAGCCCAGCAGAGGAAAAACCTCCGTCCTTTCTCCATCCAGGGCAGCGGCAGAGAAAAGCCTCCCCGGGCGGGGAGCATCCCTCCCTGCGGCTCTTACCTGCTTCCTCTTGTAAAAGCCCTTTCGGTCGCAGTTGGGGAGGTGGACGGCGCGGGGGACCATCCGCTGGCTGCTCTTGAGCTCCTGCAGGGACGCCTCCATGTGCCTGCGGCAGGGGCCCTGCAAGCAGGGAGAAGATGGCGTGTGAGAAGGGGAGCACCCTGCAGCAAGCCTCCATCTGCAAATGCCCCCGGGTCCCCTGTCGCCCCCACTGACACCCGCTCCCCAGGCGGGCAAAGCCCTTCCTGCCCACGGGAGCCCCGTGGAAGGACGGCGAAGGCACCCACCAGCTCAAACTCTTGCCGGAGCTCTGGGATGACGACGCGGGGGTGCGCCGTGTTCTCCGCCATGCCCACGAACTTGGCCAGGGTCAGCTTCTTCCGGCGGTCCTTCTTCAGGGCCTCAGCCTTCAGCTCGGAGAGGCGCCCGTGCTTGGGCCGGTAGGCCTTGGGTGGGTAGGTCTCCTCTGTCATCTCCGACGTGGTCGGCTCCTCATGTTCTCGGGACTCCCGTTCTGGAAGGGAAGGGATACCAAACTGTCAGGTCTCCATGAGCTGACCGGGGCTTCCTTCTGCAAGGACAGCCTCCTGCCCAACCCCAGAGGCCATCTTTGCACCAGGCAGGACGGGAACAAATGACCGAAGAAATCCCTTTCCCAGCTGCTGCCTACAGCCCTGGCTTTCTTCCACTGCGTGGGACTCAGCATGGCTTTTATGTGCCCCCTGAGCCCAGGACAGGGTGGTGCCCGAGGGCATGGAGGATTTGGGGGTCAGGATGAGCTCCTACGTACAAGGCCAGCATCATTTGCAGTGTGTCAGTAGAGAAGGGCCAGCGGGAGGGTTAGCCCACACCCAGAAAGGATCAGATGACACACAAAATGTGCAGAGAAGCCCCTCTTTAGCCACGGCAAGGGGATTAAATGGCAAATTCACACCCCACCCCGCCTTGCAGATGCAAGAGTGAAAGCCAGGGATGCTCGAAGATGTGACAGCTCCAAAGTCAAGGTCAATCGCGCAGCAAAGCCACCACATGGTTGGGCAGACGCTTCGGCAGCAATACCGAAGACGTGGCCTGACAAGTGCTGGGATCTCCAGGGTCCTCAGCCCGCAGCCCCATGCCCACAGGGCTGCACCAGCCCCGTCTGCTGGCACGCACCGAGCAGCCAGCAAAGCCCAGGGCAACGCTGCCGAGCGGTGCAGCCTGACCGCAGCTGCCACCAGTGGTACCGATGGCAAGGGGGGAGCGCGTTAGGCTCTGCCCACGGCAGCCACCTTCCTATACACCCCCCGGACCGCCGCACCGTGACCTGCGCCAGCAGGATGCAGTCAGGAGGCCTGCGCGGTTATATATAGGAGAGAGCTGGTGACAGTCTAAAATTAGATGACTTGTGACATTTAGTACAGCCACCGGAGTGAAAAAGGGTTATTTCTGGGCTAAATTTGAATAGAATTTAAAGCTCCTGAGGCTCCCGGTCTCCCAGTCACTGGTTCCCAGCAGCCCTGTGCTGACACCAGGGTTGTGCTGGGCAGGCGGTGAGCACAGGGGAACCCACCACGGAGGGAGGAAAAGCACCAGGATGGCTGAAATCCCTCCCCGCATGGTGTCTCGTGCGACTTCGATGCCAGCGAACCTGGCTCATCCCCTCCTGCAACCCTACGGTGATGACAGCAGGGCACCAATTTTGCCCTTCCTTGCAACATCACTGTCTGGACAAAAGAAAAAGGCTCAGGATGAAGCCTTTTTTATTGAAGCAGCCCTTTTTTTTCCTCTTTCCACAAGAACAGAGCTGGGTCATCATCCCAGACTCAGCACCCTCCTAGCAGCCCACGGCAATGCAGATGACCCCATGCAGCACCCCCAGGACTCACACCTATCCCCAGGATGGGATCCTCTTGTCATTTTGCCCCATGATGCTCTTATGCTTGTTTTTTTTTCCTTGCTGCTTCCCCACAGGTTGGGGCTCCTCTATTATAGGGGGATGACAGACAAGGGATAGGGAAGAGACTGATTAAGTTGGGAACAATCTTGTCCCCAAGGAAATGACACTGTACAAGGTGCAGTAGAAGCGCGTTCTTTGCCACAAAGATGTTGTGGCAACCCGAGGTCTGAAAGCAGACCAGAGACATCCGCAGTGACTAAGCCCTTCCAGGGCAATGAAACACACTGTGATCTGTCCCAGGAATTCCCTCCGGCACCGACTGCCAGGGCTGGGCAAGGCAGAGCCAGGGCATCTCCCTGGGCTGCTCTACATTAATTAAGGGGAGGATTTACACCAGTGCGGGCAACCCAACAATAACACAAGAGGGGCACAGCTCATTACCTCTGCAATAACAAATATGAGAAGCACAGCTACCTGGGCAAACCTAAAATAACAAACAAATGGGACAAGGCAGTGAGGATTCAGTCAGAAAAACAGCACGGGGTGTCCAGTCTCTGGGACTCATGGTACAATGGGCGTTTGCAGTGTCTCAGCCTGCTCATATGGTCAGCAGCTTCAGCCTCTGCAAACACCTTATTTCTCTGCTTCCTGCAAACTGCCAGTAAGCCAGAGAGGGCTGGGAGTTGCACGCTAATGTGGAGCCCTTTTGGCAAGGGAAGATGGGAGCCACAGGAGCCCAGCGCTCTGCAGAGCTTGCTGAGGGCTGGCATGCACCAAAAGCTGCCCAGCTCCCAGCCTGAGTCCAGCTGTTCTCCGAAAAAGCACCTGGAACTGACCCCCTTCGCCCTCGCCGGCACGCGTGGGTCCCCCCTCAAGTAGTGATATGACAAGGGATGGCTGTGGTGGGACTCCTCCGTCTGCTCAGCAGTGGTGTCTAGTTTGGGTCTTTATTTCCCAACGAGAACCCCATGGATGCCTTGGAGGGATCCCTTTCCTCCAGCCGCTGATGTTTTTTATAGCCTAATTTCCTTCAGCAACAAGCTGAAGCAGCCCCTGTTCATGAACCTGACTATCTGTCCCCTAATTTCATACTAACAAGCCAATTTTGCCAAACTGAAGGGCAGAGATCTCTGATACACAAACTCCTGACAAGCTCCGGGCAGCTGGTTGGGGACCTTCCCGGTGCCAACAGGAGAGGGAAAGGCAGAGCCGGAGCGGGCAGCACCCACACAGTCCGCACCTTCACCTCCTGGCTGGCTCATCCGCATCAACCCGCAGCTGCTCACTGCAGCCGGGGCCAGACACCCACGTCAGCACTCCCAGAGCCCCCAGACCCGCCTGCCCGTCCTCACCCACCAGCTCAGTGGTTAACCTCCATCTGCCACCCCGGGCTGGCTCGTGGCAGGGCATCGGCACCGCTGCGCCTCTGCTCCCGAGGAGACGCCGGCAGGAGCAACGCCCGGTTTCCCCGAATGAGCCCTAATTGTGCCTGTCTGAGACTCAGGAAGGAGGCTGGAGTTCCTCCTCCCTCGCTGTCAGGATCTGGCCCGCCGCACAGCCCTTTCCCGCCTACTCCCATCCGCCCTGCCGGCCCCGCCGGGGTTTCAGGCAGGCGGCAGGCGCAGAGGCAGAGCATGCTACATCTCCGTCTTCCAGCTACGGGCACAAGGCACAGGCGGGAAGACCCTTCTTACCATGTCCCCAGCCAGAGGACAGTGGGAAGCAAGACATAGGTGGCTCTGTCCCTTCTCCCCACTCCTCAGGAGGAGGTGACCTCTCAGCAGAGGTCTCAGGCTTGCGGGCCACAGAGAAGAATGGCATTGCTGGCAAAGCTGAGGATGCCTGGCTAGCCTGGAGGTGACGCCTGGCCTGTAGCCACCTCAAGGGGATGTTGACCCTACAGCCAAGGCAGGAGACTGAACTCAACTCAGAGCCACCCCATTGCTTCATGTCTGGTCTGATACTGTGGTGCCCATGAAGGCCCTAGGGAAAGCGGGGTGACCATCTGGAGATGCTCCTGACACAGGTCAGGCCAGAAGGACTGTCCTGTTGATGTCCTAATCCATGCAGGCTTCCATGAGCCCTGGGATGTAGAAAATAAATACCCACAGCAGAGCATGGGCGGTCCTCTGCCCTGGGGCTGAGGGCACAATGCCTTCTCCGCACTCTGGGCTGGACAGAAGGAGCTCCCTAGCAGGAGCCTTTTCCAACCCTCTCACCCTGCCCCTCCAGAAGGGACACCGAGTAGCAAAATACCAGGCACAGTTTCTGGGAAGCCGCAAATTGCTCCCGTCTGGCTGCCTGCTGTCCTCAACAGATACCACCCAGAGCAGCCTGTGCACCTTCCTGCACCTGGGCCAAAACCCAGCCTGGGTGCTTCTGTGCTTCAGACATTTTGGACACGTGTGAGGTCCCCACAGGGTGTGTGTGTGTTCACACGTGGGTGCGGGGCGTGTAGGAACATCGCCTCCCTGCCTGCTGACATTACAGAGCGGAGCAGGAAGCTTGTTCCAAATGGCTAGGCGGCTTAAATTTTTGTTACACATTTTCATCGGTTTCTGGCAGGAAGGTAGGAAAAGTATTTATTGACCACTGTTGCTAATGATCCGTGCTCGTTACATCCACAGCTCACTGCTAGAGGACTTGCTGTCCTGTTCGAAAAACCCCAAAAAAGCCACATGCACCTAAGAAGGACAAGCACAACCATAGTACAACCTTGCTAAACAGCCCTCTTGATTATCATAATGATTATTATTATTTACAGCATAAGCACTAACATAATACACCACTTAGGCAGGAAAGTGTTGGAGAAAGACTTAATGGCGATCTCAGTTAAACCTCTAGCATAGGAATGACAGCAAACGTCACTGGTGGAGACCTTGAGAAGTTGCCCAGTCCTTCCTCTGCCCTCAAACTGTGCCATCGCTGTTCAGAGCTGCTCACTGCAAGATGGAAATTAAAGCTTACATTACCCAGGGCTGAAACATCGCTCGTTACAGAGCAGCACGTGTCTCCCACTGAACAGCACAGTGAAACAGTGCACAATGTCTCTGCTCTCCACCGGAGGAGGATTTACCCTCCGTGTGAAGTGCCACCTCCCAGTATGCCCATGAAGGGAATATCCTCAGATGCAGGACTTCACAGGTGACCCTTCCACCCTGCTTTTCCCATGGACTCCTTGTGAAGTGCCACCTCCCAGTATGCCCATGAAGGGAATATCCTCAGATGCAGGACTTCACAGGTGACCCTTCCACCCTGCTTTTCCCATGGACTCCTTGTGAAGTGCCACCTCCCAGTATGCCCATGAAGGGAATATCCTCAGATGCAGGACTTCACAGGTGACCCTTCCACCCTGCTTTTCCCATGGACTCCTTGTGATTTTGGGCCCTGGTGGCAGCTGTCTTTGGAGGACACCATTTTCTGTACCATCACTGCTTACAACACCACGGCGCTTTCCAAACCTGGCTGGGTAATCTCTGACACCTGGCTTTCTTTTTTTGGAGAGGGACAATGTTTTGGGATAAGACACCTAGGCAGCCAACGCTGGCGACAGAGAAGGGAAAAAAGTTATGGGAGAGCCTGGGGGAGAGAGGGAGGCATTTTTCTGCAGTTCCCATCAACTGGGACCCCGCAGC